ACAAACCGTCTTTTGCCTTCTCACCAGCCATGTTCTGCAGCAGCGATGGCGCAACTACGCGGGTGCGAATCGCAGAATACTGTAGATTCAATGTTTGGCAGGTTTGCGGGTAGATTGAGGAGTCATGTGTCACAAATCCGTACAAGGGCCCTGATTAGGTTTTGACAAACGCCTCCCTTCAGAACCTTTGCACAGGGGCGTGGGCCCCTCGTAGACATGTTTGCCCGAGATTACAATAAAGCTCTCAATTGTCCGCTGCGCGGACCATTCACGGGCGAACTGTTCCACTAGCCGTCCTGAAAGCGTTCCGTCTATTTCTGATGAGCTTTGTTCCTCAATGACAGCGAGCTTTTGTTGATGCCTATGCGTGTTTTGAGTTCAAGCTGATCCAAAACCGCAGCATGGAACTTGGAACCATGGCTAAGCATCTCCTATAAACTACATGGCACTTAGGATCCCTACTAAGGGTTAACCTTTAAGCACCTATAATAGGAGTATAAGGGAATCCCAGAGGGTTAAGGGTCTAAAGTCCAAGCTAAGTCCCAAGCAGTGAAGTCTAGGTAGAACTTTCTGTGCCATAGAGTGCGGAGGCACTGAACACATCCCTAGAGTCCCACGCTCTCCCGATCATATTTGCCAGGGCTTGGAGGCAGCAATATGCCGATTGTGGGCCTGCTTGGGGCTAAGCCAAGACCTGTTGACCAACTTATCTTTCTCTGATCCCTTTTGAAAAGAAACTTTGGGGAATTGTGCAATGGAATCTTTCGCTACTCCAAGAACTCATTGTGTCTTTGTGTTGCTCTCGTGTCTGTGTGTCTTTGGTCTTTGTGTCGCTCTCGTGTGTGCATGGCTTTGCAAGTGGATTGCCGTTACCCCATCAAAAGGGGGCAATCATGCCGCTGTTTGGTGCATGACACTTCATGTCCGATGAAAAGATAGAATCCGTGGCGGTGCAGGTGGGCCGTCAAGCAGATTATGTATTCGAATGAAAGGCTTCTGGACGTGATGCTAAGGGCATACTTTCGTACTTACCTCATCTTATTTTCTGGCAATACGGTTGGCTGGAAAGCCAAAGTCTATAGTCTATCATATCTGGCGCTGATCACTCAAACTGATCTTTCACTTGTCCTCAAGAGTTTGACCCCGACAGGATTTAAGCATCATCTGACGTAGTGACGTAGTATACAAGGTTGCTGCAGGTCCAGTCTGTATCTGCGATAAGCGCTTGAACCAGACATGCTACAGGTTCCTGCGCATGTAGCCCCAACAAAAACTCAGACCTAAGGTAACGGGCTGATATTGCGCAGGATATTCTGCACATTTCTGGGGGCTACCTTACCATACTTTTGCACATTCACGCCAGAAAAAGAACATCGGCACAAAATTTGAGGACTCCTGAAGATCCTTTGAAATGCTTTTTGTAACCTTCAGAAATTCACAGACGCTTCGGTTGCCGAACGCGTGCCTGATTTCTTCCATTCACAACAACCAGATGCAGCGCCTTTTGTCGTCCAGCACGAGGGATGAATCAGCTCAAGCACCTCTCCATACAACCGCATCCCCCGTAATACCCATTGTTTGCACTCTTCTCTTCTGCTGGATACTGCGTGGGGATATCCGTGGAGTGCAGGCCTTAAGAGGCCGACCACCCCCGATCATTGCCGGAGGCCGAAATGTAACCCCACGAAGCAAGTTCAAACTGAGTCGCGACCTTCTCGCTGCCGCCTGACGAGAGCGCTAAAGCGGCGAGCGTCAGGGTTTAGCAGTTTAGCATTCCCCTAGGGATCCAAATAGACCCCATGTAGGTATTACTTGTATACTTGGATTCCTCGGGTTCAGGTTTATAAGTGGAACTTTACAAAGCCTGTACCTATCCGACTTTGGGGACCACCTCCACCACCAGCAAAAAGGCAATGAGACCACTCAATTTCTTTGGAACCATCATCTATATCACCTGAGGCTTGAGCTCCAAAGCTCCTTTCATAAATCCTGACTGACCCAGAAACAGGAATCATGCAGAAATCATGATGAAGTTTTTTGTGGAGTGGCTGGTGTTTCGTACGTGAATATTGCTATCATGGGGTTTAATCGGCTCAAAGAAATCTTGAAGCTACAGCTTCCTGTGAATAAGGACAAAAAGGCAAGTGCAAGTAAGGCTCAAGGAGGTACGAACAAGGATTGACAGCTGGCCTACGACCTAGCCGCCCCGCCCCCTGTGGCACACTATACAACCTGCAACTCCGTCCGTTTCAGACTTGAGCTTTGTCTCTTTCATCAGCATAGGAATGGACACCTGGTGACAAGTATCTATGCACCCGAGTCCTAAGTGCCCGTTCTCCTGAAAGGCTGAATGGGAAACTTTCGAAATCTTGAAAGCCAAGGCTGAGCCACACAATCCGCTTAAGTCGCTCAGAATCAAGAACTGCCTGTGCTTTTGGGACCCGAAACCCTAAACCACCTTTTGTACGATGCCAGGGACTGGTCTTGTAACCGTACTGCACAAGCTAAATGGATGCGTAATGCCAAAACCGAGCAGAGATAACTTGCGTAGTGCAAGTCATTCATTCGAAGTCGATCTAATCTGCTCGCTTAAAAGTACACCCCCTCACAATAAATGCCCCTAATGTAGCACCAAGCGGCATTGCGGGACATGTTTAGTCAGGGGGCAGTGTGTTGTCATCAGGGAGAGGGCAGTACATGAGCCATCTGATCCCTCAAGCAATGCAAACCACATCGGTCTTTGGATTGCGACTGTACAGGCCCACCGCTAGGCATGTTTACAACAAATCTTGAGAATCGCAGAACGTCAGCATCCATAGGCGCACACCTTTTTCCCACCCCTCCGGATGCTGTGACATCTGTCGCCGGAAAGGCATCGGTTTGTGGCTGCGCGCCACAGGAAACATTCTCGGTATCTAACTATGATACAAATTCTGGCAAGCTCTTACTCCTGCCATTCACTTGCAGTGGCTAGGCATCAAACGAGGCAGGGAATCTGCAGCGCCTCCCCAAATGAGCCAGCGGAACTTATTACAGGCGTGAGGATCATCTACGGGGTCCCTCTTCTAAAGCTAACTGCGGACTATTTTGCCAGATAAGCCGCACGTTCAGGGCGAGGTGATGATATTACTTATATTCATAACTTGCCCAGGTTTTATAGACATTGTTCTGCAGAAGATTGTTAATTGTTTGTCAGGTTTGTCGCCTCGGATACCAGGATTATGGCAACTTCTGTTATTTGGGAAGTTCAGGCGAGTGGCGCAGGATTTCCTACGTGCTCCATCTGCTCATTTAGAATCTGGTACTGAACCAAGGAAGCATGGGATTTCCCCTCAAAATCTGCGGTGATGTCTATAGCGTGCTGAATGAGTATACGGATAGCTCGTCCCCATGTCATTCCAGTCACTTAATTCTGACTGGGCACCATAGACTGTAGATGGAGGAAATGTACGCCGCCATGGATAACCCCAACAATAACAACAGTATTATACAAACTAAAAATGACAATATTATATACTCCAAATGATGGTAATAGTATTATATAGCCCAAATAACAACAAAAGTATTATATACCCAAATACTTAATGACAGTATTACATACTCCAAGCCCGAAAGCCTAAACGCAAGACCCTAAACCCCAAGTAATAAGTTTTTTTACGGACACTTAGTGGTGCAAGTTTTCCGCTATCCACCGAGGATAGGGAGGTCTGGCTTTCGGTTTATGGTTTAGTTTTTTTTGTTTTTAAGGGTTTTGGGTTTAGGGTTTTAGGCTTTAGGGTTTAGGCTTTAGGGTTTCGCGGGAAAGGCGACTTGACCTAAGTTACTGTGCCCAAAATGGGGGGGGGAAATCTACTCAGAGACCCGTATTGCAGTAGAAACCCCCTCTAGAGGGACATGCATTATAGTAATTCAGGGAAACCCGACGTAACACAACTCAAGAGGGGGAAGCCAAGCACGGTTTTATGCAAAGGTGTCCATCAGTGAGCGCCAGAACAATTATCTCTCCGAGCAGGGAGCCCAGGGTAAGTCCTAGGGAGCATTGACAAAAGACCGCGCAACGGAGAACCACCCAAATGACCTTCTTGCTAGTCCTTCCGAGGCTTCCCACTCGCGGAAGTAATTAAGGGCAGAACGGCATAACATGTCGGTGCATAAACACACACAATTCTGTGTTCCAATTTCAGGTGAAAGTGAAACGAAAAAGCGCTTCGCTAGTTTGAGGCCTGAATGAACCAACATCGTATTGCCCCACAAGCCTCAAGTAAGGGCTACCACGAGTGCCACACGGCCTGTTTACAAGCCTACTCATCCTAATTGAGAGCCTGCGTGCAAGATAAGATTGCTAAGCACCCCCAAATATTCAACAAATCCTTTGCAATTTGCTGCGCTGCCTCACGCCTTGTACAGAACAGCTTCCTCCAACTCTACTGCAGCTCAAGGTACATTCCCTTGCATGAGCACTTTGGCTTCTCAAGCTCCACACGGCAGGGATACTATACTGTGGGTATCGTCACAATATCAGGATTTTGGTTCCCCCATCCAGGCGCTCATGATAAAAATGCAACTACAATAGGGCCTAATGTAGGAGGTTGGTGTACCAAGATTCTCGAACGACCCTACCTGTGTAATTCTCATGGTATCCCGACAACCGTCTATGACCTTTTTGTTCATTAAACTATACGCATTCTACTATCACCATACTAGCAAGGATTCCTGTTATCATCTAGACCCTACCCCTACATGTCTCCATTTCCCCAACGCCTCTGTTTGATGTATCATGTCCTTTTCGATTTCTACCCTAAACTCTGCATATATAAATATGTACAGACCCTAGAGCCCTTGCCATGTTATCTAATCGGGACTAGGACCCCCAGAAACCCAGGACAAAAAAGGTCACTTTTTTGAATCTAGCTTGCTTTAATGAAGAACTCAGGACCCTTACTCAATACCCTGAACCCAAAAACCTCACGAGAAGTCTCAACCTCTGGGTTGGCGGGCCTCTATTGGTCTTCCGGAGCCGCCTCAAGCGTTCCGTTCTTGGCCTTGTGCTCCTGATGAAGATTAGGGCTTGGTTTTGTCAACAGTTAGGGTTCAGGGTTTAGGTGGCTAGCTTGGGGATTAGGGATTCGGGTTCGGGGTTTTGGCTTCTCTGGGTGGGTTCTGACTTCCCGGGGTTTCAGGCTTTGGACTGCGGGGGAAGCTCTGGATTTGGTGTAGGAGCTTTGGGGGTCAACCCTGGACAGTATACCCTAAACCCTAAGCCCCATATGAGCCATATTCTAAACTCCTAGTATCCCCCTTAATATCCCCTTTAGTAGTCCCCTGTATAATCCCCTATATAACCCCTTTGAAGGAGTTTTGACTGTAGCTCATATGCTGGCCCAGACCTGCGACGCAAACTGGCCCGGGCAAAGGGGTATATCAGGCGATGGGCCAAACATGTTCTGAGACACAAGCCCGGATTAAACAAACAAACAGACAACGGTCTACAGAAGCCAACGATTACCTGTTCCAGAATCGCAATTGTACCAAGACATACCTTACGTGTTCTGAGATGTTTTCAGCAATGCGGCACGAGCAACAAAACTATCACAGCATCACTAGCAAAAAGTCTAGGCTCAAGAAGTACTGAACAGCAATATACTATAATATACTATATTACACTAAAACATACTATAATACACTATAACATACTATAATATACTAATAATGGGAAGCGCTGTAGAAACAACTTCAAGGCTGGTGCTGACCAGGGCCTCCACTTTGAAGGCTGTGTCAGGGAGGAGCTTCTCCGCGTTGCCCATGTCCGCATTGCCCATGGCCTGGGAGGATGTTTCCGTGTTACCCCAGAGGTCCAAGTACCTAATGGTTGGGTACTTGGGTTTTGGGTAATAGTAATTTTGGTACAGGTTTTGGGTAAGTATATAATTATTAGGTACTTGGACCCTTAGATTTAATGCAACTCGTAGTTACATGTAGAGTACTATACATCTTGACCTATACTGGCAGGAATGCTTGCATTAAACACGGAGTACCGTATAATTGTATAACATGAACCTTATTGCATTATTATGGTATAGTATGCTACAGATCTTTCAAGGATGCCAGACCTTCATTAGGACGAATATTTGGCTGCCATATGCAGTCTCCAGCTCATTCTATATAACATCTTTGAAGCATGTTTAAACCTTAGGGACCCTAAACCCTAAACCCTAATCCCCTAATCCCCAAACCCTAAACCCTAAATTGTAGTTTCCATTTTCTTTTCCATGATCCAATTATAACCCATCCTAAGCCATACACCCCTTTACCCTAAACCCTAAACCCTAAACCCTAAACCCTATCCTAAGACATACACCCCTTTAGGGCGCACTTCGAGAGCACCTGAAAGGATCATGTGACAAAGCTTTTGCGGTAGCGCCAACATCTACATTATAGGGTTTAGGGTTTAGGGTTTAGGGGTATAAAGGGGTTATATAGGGTTTAGGGTTTAGGGTTTAGGAGGGTTTAGGGTTTAGGGGTATAAAGGGATTATATAGGGTTTAGGGTTTAGGGGTTTTATAGGGATAATGGAAAAGAAAATGGAAACTACTATACTATAACAGGGTATATATTGGGAGCCTAAAGCAGGACCAGTTGTTCTGAGAACTGCCACAGCAGTCACCAGAACAGTACATGAGTCTGGGAAACCCCAAAGTAAATCTCTACAACATTCCACGAAAACACAATCACGGCACGGCAGTATAGTATGCCCTGCATTGATGCGCTCCTGATCTAAGTTACCCACACAGCTGTGGCGAATAGAGGGCATCTTGCACACGCTAGCACCCGTAACGAAATCACTGTTGTTACCTTCACTTGGGGTGTGTAGGGTGTCCTCCAGCCACGATATTTGGGAGTAAACATTGAGCCCATAATCCCTCAAAAACTTAATCCTTCATCCCTAAACCCTAAACCCTGAACCTACATGAGCTATGGTCTAAACTCCTAGTATCCCCCTTAATAACCCCTACAGTAGTCCCGTATTTAATCCCCTATATAACCCCCCTTTAAGGAGTTTAGACTGTAGCTTCCATGTCCCTAGGGTTGCTAGGGGTTCCCCTTTTCTGTCGCTCCATGGGCCTTCGGTTTGTTGGCGATCTCGGGATTGGCTGCATTCCAGCGCCAAATCAGGCTGACTGTCTTGTAGACCGTCCTCACTCTGGATGGGGGAAATCTTGAAGAACTTAGGATCCTCCAAGTACTGCAATTACCACTTAGTCACTAAGGGGGCTGTATGCTAGTTTCCTAAAAGAGGGGGACCAAAATACAAAAGCAAAATACTACGGTCCTTATTATAGGGACCCCAAGAAGGTACCCCTAATTTCGGGAATGCCCCATATAGGGTCGTGCAAGATTTCCTCCAGCTATCCATCATCCACAAGAGGTCATCCTGGATATGTGAAGGTCACATAGCGGTATATAGGTTTCATAGGGACATATGGGGTTTACGCGGAAAGTGGAGAATCAGCTTGGAGACATATTGGCCCCCACAAAATACTTAACTAAGTTCCGGGGATTCTTGGGGATTATTAAGCCTTATTAGTTTTTTGGGGGTCCACGCAGGGGAGCCCATAGTAGTCATATGATCTACAGTCCTCTCTCCATTATAATGAATAGAACAAACACTCACCGCCCCAAATAGTATTTCACCTACAATAAAAGGGTACAATGTTGGGGGGGGGGGGGGTATTATCAAAGGGTGAGGGAGTTTATTAGTACGGGAATGGATTACTGGCTAAGCGCCCAGGGCATCCAACCGAGGCTCATGTAATGCTTTGGATTTAGACGGTGCCCTAGTGGGAGGATGGGACGTCACATGAACCTGATGCAACCATCACTTACTGCTGGTTGGTAGGGAATAAGGGAAATGTATCATAAAGGGATTATTTGGGGCTTCTACTCCCGTATCCCCTACTAACCACCAGTAAGTCATAGATCTCATAGAGCTGCCCCTATCCCTGATGATTCTTGCACATGGTTACTCAGCCTGAAAAGCGGTCACGCGACAGTGGTTGGAGCGTTCATTGCGTGTGGAAGACTTTGGGCCGTGTCATTTCCAGGGAGGGGATGCTATATTTAATGCAGAATCCTTAGCATAGCAACATGTACTGGTTGGAACTTAAGGGGGGCAGTGGGGACTCTACATGAGCATAGTCTTGGTATCCCCCTTAACACGCCCTGTAATACTCCCCTACATGTTCCCCTGTATATCCCCACTTGAAGGAGTGTAGACTATGGCTCAAATGGATGATTACAAGGATCCACTGCCCCTCCCTCCCTTCAGCAAGAGGAAGATGAGCGTGAGGGAGGTCAGCCATGCTTGTAGTCCCCTTTAAGTAGATAGAATATGGGGGTTCATGGGGATCTTACTATAACATACCCAAAGCCATGTTTCTATCTACTTAAGGGGGACTATAACTTCTGATCATAGGATCCTTAAGTTGATGTCATGTAAACTCTTGGGCCCAAGGATCCCTTTCCACTCAGAATTACTTCTCCCCAAAACATGAGGCGCGACACCAAGACAAGAAGCGCTAAGAACTCAGCAACTTGTGCCCGCGGGGTGGGGCAAAGTGCGGGACGCTCTCAAAATCATCAGTCAGGATTTGGGAGGTCTCGAAAATCAGTGTCCTCACATGTCGGGGACATGCCCTGCCCTTGCCTGAACATACTGGTTCTTAGTATAGAGAATATATTAGAGGCATACATGGGATTATATTCCCTGATTCCCTACTAAGCGCGCTAGCCCAAATCAAATGCTTAGGTGGCCGCAATGTCAGGTGTCCTTGTGCCCATCATGCACATAATGATCTGTGCCACGGCATAGACGTTTCCTAGGCTGGAGAACATCCCAATCATTGCAGGATCAAGCGGAGAGGGTTCCAGAGCCCTAAACCCTAAACCCTATACCCTCAACCCCTGAACCCTAAACCCGCAACCCTAAACCCCAATTCTTCTTAAGATGCTCCTGCAGTACGTGATGACACTGCCTGTCACATTCCCCTGTCAACGCCACCAGCAACACCTCAGCCTCCAACGATCCAGAAATCATATACGTTCCCTCAATAGTGCTACATTTTTTAGTACTCAGGTGTTAGGCACATGCACTAGTTGGGGCAGACGAAAGCAAGCAACCGCTGACCGAAATGAATAGCCTCCGCCAAGAGTGCCACACAGTACATGGGGTTTACGCTTTAGTCCGAGGATCAAAACCTGATAGTTCCACGTACCCTAAACAATTGAGATCCAGGTAGTCGGAACTTAAACACTCATATTTGGGTCCTTGCAGCCTTAGGGGGCTGGACCCAATAAAAAGAATAGTCATCTTCACCTTACTTTGAATAGGAAAGCCAGTGGGAGTCCCTCAAAAATGTGAGGTCTCCAACTAAAGCCGGAAAAGCTGGGTGACGCATCAAGAAAAGTTGATAAGCATCAAGAGACATTGACCTAAAGAATACAAAATGAACACCTCGCGCACGGTATCAACAAGTAATTTGATAAGCATCAAGAAAAAATGAGGATCACTGTACTATACATTAGCAAGAAGAAAGTGAGTGGGGGCACAGTAGTACTCACAGTACCAATACGGATATTACGTATACTGCTAGCGATACCGATAAGAACAATAGTTGGAAAGAGACTACGGCTCAAACCATTTTTGATGCTTGGCAAATTAGGTTTCATGCTTGGCAATTTTTTTTGATGCCTTATAATGTTTATGCCTATGCCGGAAAAGCTGGGATCCCTAGGTCCTCTCTCTCTATCATATAAACGGTGTCATGTGAGAAACACTCAGAATGAGTTTTGAGATTGCCTCCAAGGGTCGGCCTCCGTAGTCGACCAAGAAGCGGCCGGCAATGGGACCTAGACTCATCTAGAGCGCAGCGACGGGGTTACTACAAAGGATATACAGGGCAATTGTCAAAATAACCCTGCCCTCGGGCAACCCATACAAGCCCCGGTACATAGGAAATGGGTTCTTTCGGGCCCCTTTCGCATTTCATGCCAGCTTCAGGGAGTGTAGTGCTCTGATGTGCTCTGAATGGTTGCCTGTATTGAATTTGTTCTTGCCTACCCCCATACCGCCAGAAAGAACATCAATGGCTACGTTGCACCTGCTCGAAGAAAATCCTGGTCTGCTAAAGCTACTTTGCCGAGGCTCCCATAAAGCGGCTGACTGTTACCTCAGCAAGCGGGACCGAGACCAAAGACTTGTTCGGCTCTATTTATGCTCTCAGTGCCTAAAGTCTGAATATTGTTTGGTGGCTCGGACTGAGGGGTAGCACATCACGTGGCGGGCAACGTTTTCTGGGATGCCGTCTCTTCCGCAGCACCAAGAGCAAAACAACAACTTCTTCTTGGTATGTAAACCACCGAGACTTCCAGATACATCTACGTATATGCGCATGTATGTACGCATACGCACACAGATATTGCTGTGTTCATCAACCCTGCGTGGCCGCACCCAAAAATTGCCCCCTAGCTCATCGAACAATCGAACGGAAGGATTGATCCACAGGGTATGGATCTCGCCATGGTGTTGTGAAATATAGCTTTGTGTGAGGATGGAACACAGGGGTATGGAATGGAAAAGGCTCCAGTCGGTGATCCATACACTATGGATTGGGTATGAAACGAGTAGCTTGTTCCATACCCTGAATATTCAGAAGCCTCCCAGTAGATTATCCGCTATTTCGTCAAATTGGTCGTATCTTTTAATGAAGTACAAAGACGATACCAAAGACTGGTTCATTGGAGCCTACTGCAAGTACGTTGAAGCCTAGATCTCATCCTCATCCTTTGTCATCCACTGATCCATATGTGGCAAGTAGTCAAAATGAATTCTCCAGAAACTTGCAAACTTTTGCGGAAGAAAACGTGTTCCTTTGCATCCTTTTGCGCGAGCTTGTGCGGAACCTGTTTCTCAAATGGACACCCCAAGTATACCCAGAAGACAAAGACTTGAAGAACAGCCCCCATGGCTTCCGCAGCATTGAGCTCGGCAAGTGGCTGCAGATAGCTGGCGCAGCCGATATTCGGCATTGCTAAAGCCTCAGCACCCATGTGCAAATCAAACATCATCTGTGACGCAAGATGACATCTGCTTTATGTGGGCTAAGTGCACACGAAGAGGAGTGCATGTTTGGTGTAGCTCTCGGCAAGCCCCTTTTGTACCAAGAAAGACCCTGAGCTACAATCCTGTAAGACGCCAACCTTACTGCTGAACAATGCCCCGCGCAACAAACGAGAACTCTCAAAAAGGGTTCCCCAACATTTGGAAATCCTAAGCCCTACGTGGCCGTACATTATATATATCCCCAGATGTAATCCCTGTGGCATCATCAAGGAAGAGGGTTTTAATGTTGGACTCCCATATGAGCTATAGTCTAAACTCCTAGCATCCCCCTTAATAACCGCTGTAGTACTCCCCTGTATAATCCCCTTTATAAGCCCCTTAACCCCAAACCCCCGTTTAAGGAGTTTAGACTACAGCCCATATGGGTGGTTGTCAAAATGATGGTCCCTTTTTGGATCCCTATTATAATACGGCACCTAATATTTAGGGTACTCAAAAAGGGGCCATAATTTCTGACAACCACCCACGTAAACCCTAAACCTTAAACCCTAAACCCTAAACCCTGAACCCTAAACCTTACAAACGAGGGGCTCGAGCCATCCTTTGCAGCGCGGCTCGCCCATCCTTCTGCGAATCCATTGGCCACCTCGATTGTGCTTATTATAGGGTATATATAGAATGGAAACTACTATTTAGGGTTATATTGGGGTTATATTGGGATAATGGAAAATAAAATGGAAACTACTATTTAGGGTTATATAGGGCTATATATAGGGATAATGGAAAAGAAAACGGAAACTACCATAGATTTAGGCTTTTGGCTGCTTAGGGTTCAGGGGTTTAGGATTTAGGGGTTTAGGGTTGAGCTTTTGGTTGCTTGGGATGTTAGGAGGTTTGTGGGTTTGGGGGTGAGGGAGGCTGAGGTTTGGGGGGTGTATTGTATTCAGGGAGTTTCAAAGAAACCTTGTCATTCAATGCTGATGTTCCTCCAAGCTTCCGGCTTCTACTGTAGCATGTTCACACAGATTCCAAGCGCAGGCTCGAATTTCTGCACCCCTACATAAGATGGTGCACAAGCGTAAATATCTTGATGTCGGGTTTTTGTGGGTTTCGACTAGGGAGCCCAGTCGCCTCGTGCTTCGGAAAAAAAACGTGAACAGCCTGGAATGGCAACGGACAAAATCAAGCGGCACGCTGTAGACTTCATGATCTGCGTCGCTGGGTGCTCAAGTCTCTAAGCCCTAAACCCAAAAGTTAAGGTTTTAAAACTTTGGGTACCCCATTATGGTCCTAAGCCCAAGGCCCTGAAATTAACACGCACACGTCTGGGATGCGACTCAACCTTTTTGGGATGCCATGGCTGCACCAAGTAAACTCATATTGTAGAGTACGTGCGGGGGATGGTGGTCCCTAAGCCACACATCCTCCATCCACCCTGTGTAAGGGTTTAGGGTTTAGGGTAGGATGTAGGAAGCTCAACATCCGACCAACTTGAACTCTGGTGTAGGCCGGGACAAAGGGACAAGCCTAAGCAAGGCCTACAAGGAGTTCTGCGGATCCCTCTCCCGGAAATAGCTGTTACTTTTGAACACTCCACAAATCTCTAAACTGTGAATATCCCCGACCCTAAACCCTAAACTCCTAAACCCTTAACCCTTGAACCCTCAAATCCTCAAACTCTTAACCCCTCAACCCTCAAACCCGAAAACCTTAAACCGTTAAACACTTGAACCCTAAAACCCTAAAACCCTAAACCCTCTAAACCCCACTGGTCAGCTCTGCTGGGCCCTCCACTGTAGCGCCGGTGTAAATGACGCAGTCCGCAATGAGAAGGGTCCAGCCAGGTGTTGGAACTGCAGGGGAAAGGCACGAAAGGACCGTTTGGGGTTTAGGGGTTTAGAGTTTAGGGTTTTAGGGCCTAGGGGACCCAAACCGTACCATTCCAATCCCAAACCCAAACTCCAAATCCCATTGAGTCCTAGGCATCCCTTTATGAGCCCCTTATGAAACCCACACCAAGCCTACAAAGCCGCCCAAGCCGATGGGTTTGTGATTCTGGCTTAGGGTTATACTTGAGTCTCCTTAGACCTGTATATATATATATATATTAAGGGTTATACTATAAGACAGATTAAAATAATAATTACTGAGGAGACTGCAGTACAAGCTATCTCAGGCCTATCTCCAGCAGGAAGCAGCAGCCAACGATGGACGAAGCCGCCGAGACAATGAACACCTTCGACTCCTGAGCTAGAGTTCATGGGTTTAGGGTTTAGGGTTCAGGGTTTGGGGTTTAATAAGTTCACATGGACCCCTGAAGCATGCAGAATAATTGCCTTTTGGCTGTATTCAGGGGTTCTGGGCAACTATTTCTAAGCCTTATGAAGCCCTACGTCGGAATTACAAACTCCGTTGCCAGAGTCCTTGTTTGTATAAAGACAGCACGGTGGGGTATATGCTTGAGCTTCAAGCAGGATATTGTCTTGTGGAGTCCAGCAATCCCTGGCAGGGTTAAGCTTCTTGGTCCAGATAGCACTAGAATGTTAGTACACTTGCAGACCATCTTTGGATGGGATCTCAAGTTGGACATAGTGAGCACACCAACCTTGTGCTGCATTGCAAGCCGTGTATATATTCGGATGTGTTACTTAGCGTCCAAAAGCCGAAGAAGCTCCTGCTGCAGCTCTGCCGTGGCTTTGACGTTTCTCCCAACCTTCTAGGCAGGATGAATTCCTGCAGTCCCTGCCGCGTCACATTCTTCCTGAATGGATATCTCTCAAAGGTGTCCAAGAGAATGCCGAACGGGAATCCCCACGCTTCCCCCTTGATGCAGAAAACAGGACTAGTAAGGGTACCCCTACTCCCGTATACTAGGGCTGTTCCCAAAATTATGGGCCCCTTCTGGTTATGGATTATATTCCGGCACCCTAACATGTAGGGGTACCAAAACGGGACCCTAATTTTGGGAAATACCTTAAACCCTAAACCCTATTTACCACTTTATAACCCCTACATCCCCCTTTAAAGGTACCAAAATGGGACCCTAATTTTGGGAACTACCTACTAGGTGTCAAAGCCAGGATTCGACCAGCCATCCCTTGACCAAGGCGACCTGAGTCTTGCTTTGTCTCAGTTGTCAGGTTTTGGGTTTAGGGTTTAGGGTTTAGGGTTTAGGGTTGGCTGTACACAAAGGATCTAGCGCCTCTTAGATCCACATGAAGAAGTAGCCACTGACTTTTCAGGGCTTAAAAGCGCGGCAACTAGGCGGCGCAACACTGATGATACCCCAAAAAAGGCACAATGTCAACCTTTGGAACATGGGAGTTTCCAGGCACATATTGACCCCAATATAGGCCTCTAGATGCTAGAATCCTTCCTTTAGGGAACCGCAAAATGGACACCGAATTTTGGGAAACCCTCGTGTCATGTTGACTGTTCATGATTCAAAGTAACAGGGCCGCCGGACCGGTCTTTTGGAGCCTTCTATTGAACCAGCTTGGAACTTCTAGACATAGCTTTGATCCATGTAAAGAATGACGGGGTGAGATTTACGCGTTGCTCTTGACCTTCCCTGGGTGAACGAGGCTGTACACCAATAAACGAGCCATGAAAGCCATAGGAACGTCAGCGCTATCTGCAGAGACCCGACAGTGAACGGAATGTTATCTCTCGGCAGTGCTCCTTGTCCCTTGATTCTACCAACAGCACGAAAGCCTAGCTGTGAGCGCTGGGTCTAAAACTGTCCCTCCTAGGCATCGGCGCGCAACTGAAATCAATGCGCGCCTGCCCCAGGTGTTTGAAAGTTCAGCACTTAGTTAAGTATACCACAAGCAGTGCCAGGACACCGCACGAAGTTAAAAAGAGCAACTTGACAATCGTGAAAATCAGGAAAATACAGGCAGAAATCCACCCTGGCACAGGGCTGTTGACCAAAAGGTTTCCTGGTAAGGACTCCTACTACCAGAGACTTACCTCGCCGTGCCCGTCACGGCACCGAGCGCACCTCATATGATTCTGAATACTCATAAGGATTATGAGGGGTAATGTAGGATATGAGATATTAAGGATAATGGAAAAGGGAATGGAAACTACTATATTGAAACCCCTATACTACCCAAGGGCTCCTATGTAGTCGTCCTTCCAGCTGGGTCACCGTGGTGAAGATGGACATGACGATGCCCAAAGAGCAGACCGCCGTGAAGCAAATGCCTCAAAGCTAGCATTGGCCCTAGGGACCCAAATAGTCCGATGTAGGTCATACTTTCAGACGTTAGGGCCCAATGTAGGTGCTATTTGTATACTTGGATCCCTATATAGCCCCCATATAACCCCGATTCCATTTCATTGTCCATTTCTTTTCCATTTGATTCTCCATTATTGCATTACAGTTGTATACTTGGATCCCTACACCATTGGGGTAACTCTAAATCATCTAAACCCTAGCTAATTTCTTGGACTTGGTCTTGGGATTCCTTGAGTACTGCAGATGTTGGGACCTTCTCTTTCCTTGGTTGGCCTTTAGAGACCCTTGAAAAATAGTAGTATAAATAAATGGGTCCCTGTAAAGCCAGTAAGGGAAAAGATTTAAGGAACCCAAAGGCCTACCCAGTTTCCTGAGACATTCAACAAAGGATAGACTTTTGAGACAGTCTCACCATGGGTGCAGGGTCGAGCGCCGCGAAGGGCAGCTACAACGAGCGATCCCGCGCAAAAGAACCAAGTTGACAGCCCCACGTGTGAAATCTCATGTGAGCCATAGTCTAAACTCCTTAACAGGGGTTGTATGGGGATCAATATAGGAGAGTAATATAGGGCTTATGAAGGGGGATAGTGGGAGTTTAGACTATGGCTTATGTATCCCAAAAGTCATTGATTCCCTGAGACCCCGAGGATGAGGATCCTCCTAAACCCTCAACCCTAAACCCTATATATCCCTGTGGAACCTCATTATATCCCTAAACCCTAAACCCTAAACCCTGAATCCCTACACCCTAAACCCCCTTTAAATGGACCTAATATAGACTGGATGCCCGGAAGAAGCCTTGCCTTTGGATTGTCCATGAAGAACTCTGCATGACCCTAGCAACGATTAAGCTTGAAGCCCCAAACTAAGGGTTCAGGGTTTAGGGCTTGCAGCCCCAAACTAAGGGTTTAGGGTTTAGGGCTTGAAGCCCCAAATTAAGGGTTTAGGGTTTAGGGCTTGAAGCCCCAAATTCTACAGCTATGTCATCCGTACACAGTAAGCATCGTCCTTGCCAGGCGAGGCGCCCGTCATGTATGGATCCCAGCCTTGTCAGTATGGGTTTTTTGGTTGTGGGTTTGGGTGAGGGATAGGGGTTGAGGCTTTATGGTTTGAGGCCGGGGTTTTGCAATCATTTCCACGGAGCTTATTGCCCAATATAAATAGGCCTCCGAACGATTCGGTCACAACTCATAGATCCAAGACAACACACCTGGGGACGCTGGACTTCAGTTGTATCCTGCATCCCTTCAACAGCCCCATTATAACATACCGTAACCCTTTGTGAATAGGCTCACTAACCGCGTATTAACGGCAGGTGGATGCGTGGACCCCCCACCCAGTACACAGAAGACCTGCCAGAAGCACTTGCCATCAATGCAGCCAGGGGGCCATAGTAGACCTCCAGCATCATTAGCGTAGACACTTCGACAGCCGCCAGTGTGAAGGGTCGCTCCTGACTGCCGTTCATGAGTGCAAGATAGTGCTACTTGGACCTCAAGAGAAATGATGGCCCAACACCCTTATAACCAGTCCAAACGACTATGACTGCCATTACTATTGTTATCACTACTTTACGATTGTTAGTACTACTGTTACAATTATTATTAGTACTGTCAGTATTCTTTTTATTCTACATACTTTGGGGTCCAGCTAGGAGGATGACAAGGTCAACTTGACAGATGTATGCTACAGTCTAAACTCCCTTAATGGGGTTATATGGGGTTTAGGGTAAAAGCTCCCTTAATGGGGATTATATAGGGTTTAGGGTTTCGGACTTAAACCTTTAAAGGGTTCAGGGTTTAAGGCCTAAACCTCTTCGAGGGGGTTACATAGGGGATTATATGGGGGAGTAGTATAGGGGTCACCAAGCGGGATTCTAGGAGCTTAGAATATAGCTTATATGACTCCCATAGCGGTCTTTTAAAATGCATCATGCAAATAGCAGGACTACGGAAAACCTAAACCCTAAACCCCTATGGCTTCCATTTCATTGTCCACGTTCTTTTCCATTTGTTTATCCATTATGGGGGGGTAATATCCCTATATAACCCAGCATAGCCCTACATAATATAGTGATATCCACTTTCTTTTCCATTATCCCTATATAACCCCAATCTATGTATATATATATATACATATACACACACTAAACTGTCCAAAAGGAATCCTGACCAGTGCACGTTTGACGCAAGCCTTTAAGCAGGGGCCGATGTAAGTAAACTATGAAGCTAGCCAACGCACAAAGACACATGGTATTTATGACCCAACTCTGGGTCGTGGAGTGCAAGAATCTAGCTAGGGCTGAATGTAGTTTAACCCAGAAAGAAGTCCCAGACGGTCGTTGGGGCACGTTTTTTTGCATGGCTCATCTCAGACTAACCCGGCGCAGACCCAGGGGTAATGACATACCACGAAGCAGTCATGCTTACCAATCCGCATGTGGCATAGTTCAGTGATTCTACAGTCTCCACATCTATTAGCAGAATTATTATGATAACCATGGCGGGGAATCAGCTGACATGTCATACTGTCCGACTCTTCAAAATGCGGCCCGTGAGACCCATACTGTAAGTTTACCAACCCAGGTCATACTCCTTTGTATGCTTCTGCATACTGCCCCTGAACCCAAAACCCCGTGATAAGCCAAATCCTTAAACCAGCAGCGATAGCCAGGCATAGGCCAAGCGGCAAAGGCATACCAGATCATGTTCCATACCACGCGCTCGCGCTCCGGGTCGGCCATTTGCTGCGCAACACATGATTGAGGGGCTTCTTAGTAACACAGGTCTATGCCTATGGTACCTGCAGGACTCAACCGACTGCTGAATGAAACGATGGTCGCTACAACCTTGGCAAGGACTCGTTGGAATTACATCGTTTCATCCATCATGTCCGATGTCCCCTGGGCACCGCTCTGTGCAATGTTTAGGGGTTGGTATTAAGATTTAGGAGAGCTTCTGGACACGTGGTACTCAGCAAGCACTTCAGTTTTTTTAAAAAAATGTATTTTGTCAAATGTTTTTTACCTGTCAGCTTCTTCTGTTGTACGAGTATGTGTTCCGCCCTCTTTTCGAGACGACATCCTTCCCCACAACGCGCCAGGCCTCAAGATGGGCGTCGGAACTCATGACCTCATTAGGGTTTAGGGTTCAGGGTTTCAGTTAAATCAGCGTCGACCAAGGTAGACGAGCTGCTTTGCTTTCCTGGTAATCAATGAAATCTTCCGGGAGGTGTCGCACAAGCTCGATTGTCGAGAATATAGTCCCCCCTTAAGTAGACAGAATATAGGGTATATGGGGATCTTACTCTAATATACCCTAAGCCAGATTCTATCTACTTAAGGGGGACTGTATTTGGACTGTGACTGAGCTAACAAACAACAGCATTGACACTGATGCTGTTCTTCTTGTCGGCGCATTTGCCAGCTAACCACTTCCCCTCTATATATGTATATGCCCATATGTATGAAAGATCTCCTCTCGAATCTATTTTTGGATGCCTTGGATACCTCCAAACAGCGCAACTTTCTCAACAACGCAGGCGGCAGCACAGAGTGGCCACTGTCAAAACATCTATCATCACGTGTCAAGGACATCATCAAGCAGTTGCAGGAAACGGCATCACATGGCTATCATTCGGTCCTCATTTAACGTGTGGGGCTATCAAACACCTCTAAGCCCCAGCCACAAATCCCTGCTATAGGGGTTGGGATTACCAAAAAACCTCTCATCATGTCACTTGCCGCCGGGAGACCAGCTCATCTGGGTCATCCTGGATCGAGGAAAATGAAGGGCTCTCTGATCATGTTTTGGCTGATGTACCCACCATTGCCCTAAACCCTGAGCCCGAAACCCTAAACCCTGAACCCGCCCTATAGCCCCAATGAAGGGTATACTAATTAGGAAGGTCTGGGCTTTCGTATTCTGACACAGTCCTACTTAGTGGTAGAGTTAGGAGGATCGGACATCTGCATAAGGCGACCCTTGCTCCGCCTGAGCCCTTCAATCCTCGGGGATATAACCCCAAGAACCTCTAAGCTTTAGGCTTTAAAGGTTTTGGGTTTAGGGCCCTTGTACTATGAGATAGGGGTTATATTGGGATAATGGAAAAGAAAAGGGAAGCTACTCTTTAGGGTTTTCGGTCTCGGGAATGGACAAGGGAATGGAAACTTCTATTCACGGCACGGGCATCTTAACCAGCATACCCATGGAAATTTAAGTGGAAGCTACTATAGCATAGAGTATATCTGGAACCCATTCTGAACTCATCATGTAAGAGCTGCCGTAAACCCTAAGCCCTGCACCATGGACTCTACAGCGGTGATTGTTTCCTTGGTCACCCTAAACCCTAAACCGTACACCCTGGGAATGACGGCGGCAGCTTGACTCGTCACACAAGAATCAGCAATGAGAATGAGTAACACTACCATAACCAGACAAACATTAGTAACAATAGTAGGAATAATAACGGTAATAATAATAGCAGTAGTAATGGTAATAATAATAATTGTAGTACTAGGAATACTAATAATTACATTAGCCATCACAACCACAAGAATGGGAAGCTCCAAATAATCTGCCTCGCCCTCGTCGTCCAGGTTCAGCGGGTAGTCAGGCAGCCTCGCAAGCATGGTAAGAAATTAACTATTCGTTGACTGGACCACGCCGGGCTACCTAGGTTGGATTATGTAGAGCGTAGGGAAATAGAATAAAAGGGCAGCGAAAACGGAAAACTAAACGCAAACTGGTTTGTATAGTGGGCTATGGAGGGTACCAGCAGGGTTTGCAAAAAAACATATCAGGGTTTGCAAAACCAATAGGCATTCTTTTGGGAGTCCTTGTACTGAGGATGACAGTTGAATGCGCTATGGGGGGCCCCTATTCTGCGAAGTTTCCATGTGAAGTTATTTTTTCCTCTGCCCAGCTCCACTGCATACCTACTGACTCCCCCTTCAGGGTGTTCATAATGACAGTAGCTCCGGAAACGCAGCGTTACCATCACCATATTGATGGTTTTTTCGTCAGGGCCTTTTAGTATGCTAGGAAGGGCTTTGTGGAAACCACGCTGATTTTGGAAACGGAATGTTATAGGCTAGATGCTAATCCATGATCCTAACCTTTCAACCCCAAACCCTGAACCCTAAACCCCCTTTGTAATCTTACGGTTTGTATCCTGTGCGCCATCCCCAAGCCATGGAATATGGCCCTCAATGAGGGTATTTGGGACCCCAAAGCCCAAGGGTACAAACCTAAAGTCCATGAATCCCAACCCCTACAGTAAACCCTAAATGAACCTTCAAACCCTAAACCCTGCACCCCTAAACCCTAAACTCCTAAACTCCTAAACCCCTCACCCTCCATGCTTCCTGCCTAGCCGGCATAACGAAGGCACCGAAAGAGGCGGAGATCAGGGAGATGACCAGCAGCAGCCTCGGGTTCAGGGCTTAGGGCTTAGGGTTTAGAATTTAAGGTTTCGTATTTTGGGTTCAGGATTTAGGGTTTAGAATTTTGAGTTTAGGGCTTAGGGTTTGGGATTTAGGGGTTGGTGTTTAGGGGGTTTTGGGTTTTGGGCTTAGGGTTTAGAAACGTTCTACGGACACCAATGTACTTCAGTCCTTATTATAGGGACCCCCAAACCTGGGCACCCTACATTTTGGAAGCTAGCTTACTGTCTAGCTGCACTGGAAACCTGACAAACACTAGCCGTTCCGCTGCACAAACAAGCCGAAATCAACATCTCTTTTGAAAGGCCCAGCATGTAGATTCAAGGATGTTTGGGGATTAAGAAGTGCGCGGTGGATAGTACCAACTTCAGGCTTTACGTATGCTTGGATTTGGACCTTGTAGGATTAAAATGTCAAAGAAAGAGTTTTGGAGGGCTGCGAACTAAACAACAAAGCTGTTCTTTTTCCACGGCTTGCATTCCTAGCGTCCGGTGAAGCTACCTTGAAGTAAGCATTCCCGAAAACAAAATGACACCGTACCCGGACCCTTTTCAAACTCCCACTGGAACCCTCATCCGGCAAGGGCGGATGCAGTCCAGCAGCAGGTTCACCCAGCCCATCATGCTCCGGGGGCAGACCTGAGTCCATGTTCACAAAGCGGATCCAAATTGCAAGGGTTTTTAAGACTCTGGGACAACTGGGAACAACAATGTACGGTTGAAACAGGAAAGTCTTACGGGATCTTGCTTGCAGGCCATTAAGTCTTCCGCTTCCAGTGCAAATAGGGACCTGATCTTCAGCTCAGATGTTGACAGCGCACACTTCAGACGCCGCTACAAACACTGTGATAGGATGCTGGTTTCGCCGTGGAGTCATTCTGCAGAAGCTGGGGCAGTCATTGAGTGACTAGACACCATCAACCCCATGCACACACTTTACGAAGGCAACCAAGCCCCAACCACTCTGAACTGCAGTTTTTTCCTGGTGCGCATGTTTGCTACACCCAAGCCCCCAGACCCCCGGAGTAAAGACTGAAAGTGCCAGATGGCAACTGCCCATCTTCGCGTGCCAAAGCCTGAAACCAAAACCTTGAGGCCGGAAAGTCTTCGCGCCAAACCTCTCCGAGTAGGGCTCAGCAATGCAAGCATAGCAGTAACTCGAAAAGGTTGTGTCGTAACACTTCTGTAGGAAGCCGTTGAATAAATGACAATCACATTCCACATAGGCTTCCATCATCTGCACAACCAGCTCAATGAATGTCCTGAACAGAAAAGCTTCCTAACACACCGTGTTTGTGGCCTCGATCCTTAACCTATAACCCCAACCTTGCCAGCTAAAACCTTTGTTCTTAACGACCTTTAAGCCCGGCAGTAACATCCCGTTGAATTCTGAGGATCTTGCGGTACCCCCCCTGCTTATTCAGCCCATACATGCCTAGAGAGAAGCCTCAAGCTTTTGACTCCTGTGCCACCATGGCGCCCGCTCCCCACCGCCCGTCACGAACGTGCGCAGGATTGCGAAAAGCCCGGGGCCAACCACCAGGCCAAAGTTTCGCGCGCACTGCGTTAGGATCCTGGGTGGTTCAGCTACTATCACTGTCACTATGACAAGTACTATTACTGTTACTATTACTATTACTAGGACTTCAGGGTTTGAGAAATTCTTGTTCAGGGGGCTCAGAGCTTTTGGAGGCCAAGTGGCTGGCGGTTTGGAGGCTTGGCCCAGGCTTGCGCACCAACGTCATAAGAGAATTCAAGCTCTTCATAGTAGTTTCCATTTTATTTTCCATTATCCCAATATAACCCCAATATACTATAATATACCAGAATATAACTGATTCAAATTTAAAGTAGAGCAAGTTTTCGTCTATGAGGACTGACATGGGAGGACATATAGTTGCCAGCAGGCGTTGATGATTGTCTTTCGGGTTTGAGAGCGACATGTGCTTGGCTCTGCTTCTCCAAGAAAGTGCGATAGTGAATCCTGACTCTCAAGCATTGAATCATAATATACCGTAATATACCAGAATATACTACAATATAGCACGTCATACTATAATATACTATAATATACTATTATACAGTATATAATCATACACCATAATAAAGTTGACTCAATAGAGCGTCAACAACTTCCGCCGGCCAAGAGACATCCAGAAGGTCCGGTTCTTGGACTTGGTGATCTTCCTTAGAGTCATCACTCAAAGGGTTTAGGGGTTTAGGGTTCAGGATCACTCAAACGAAGCATCATTCAGGCTCCTATCAAACTGTTCAGGGTTCGATGTTTCCTTTTTCGCTGTAAGAAGGTGGACCAAGCGCTTGCCAAAGAGACGTCCAGAAGATGATGCCCGGAATGACGGCCAGCGGTCCAATAAAGGAACTGATGACCTAGGAGTTTCTGAGAAAATGGAAGGGCTGTTGTCATCAAGAGGATCTACTTGCTAAATTCATCACCCGAGTTTTTCTTATTTTTTTTTGGGAGGGGGGGGG